CTACCCGTTGGACCAAATTAAGACAGTTATGGTTCTCAACATCCCTAACGCCTTGAGACATGTCGACCTTCAGATTGAAGACTGCGAAGAAGAGTTTGTTTATGTAAAAGAATTCTTTTATTTTTGATACGTACACAAAAAGTAGGAGTAATAAAATTGTTCTTTGATAGAAGGTAAAGTCCACGACTGTGTTGCATACAAATTACAGTATTCAATCAATTTGTTTAAGCAAAATCTCAAGGCTAGCGGTGAATGCAGAAAAAATTCATAATTAGTTCCTCATTAGTATATGCTGAGTCGCCGTTATTCAGGGTTGCCGCTTGAATAATGCAAGAGTTGTTGACCTAAGCTCAGGGCTGCCTCTAATTATTAAAATACGAGCTGATGCGCACGATTTCCGCATAATTGGGATAGAGTTGTGACCGATGCAACCCTTCCACCCCAAATTGGGCACGTGGCATATTCATTTCTGCCTCTGTTTTGTTGATCTTTTACAAGGAAGTCTAGCGCATATATCATGACTTTGGAATTTAAACTTCTCCCGGCCTCTCTGGCTAAACACTTTCCCGGCAATGTTGTTACTTGTTAATTAGCACACATATCTATTGCCAAGTCGGGGTTCCAACGCACGGCTTTACCTACGATTGTACACTTATATACCTATACACAATGTACACTTATCAACGTCTATAAAGAGATACATAATAAATGTTTCTAATTTTAGATTTACTGCCAGTTCTCAAATCGAACGAACGGAGGAGAAGAACTGGCAATAAACTCTCTGCCACTGTTTTTAATCGCCAAGTTTTTCGTTTTACACAATTTTTGTTAGGAGCTGCATCCATCACACCATGTTCCACATGACACCTTTATAAGTAATTAATAGTTAATTAATAATAATAAAATAAATTAAAAACAAAGATTTGTCCTCTATCAGCAGTAATATTGAGGTATCTAGATTTAAATCTCGTAGTAGTTTTGTTTAAGGATTAAAGACCTACCGCCATATGCAGTACCTACTGAGGGAATGCCAGTAGGAGTAACAAATAATACATCTTAAAATTATTTTCGCAAAAAATATTTAGCTTGTTTAAAAGGTTTTCCAGCATTGTGCAAAACACTTAAAAATAACAAGATACAAACACTTGGTCGTGTAAAAATGGTTGTCGTAGCAACAATATTTTTAAACTTATTCAAAGTGAAATAAACGTGAAATATACTTTCATGGAAAATTTACAAAATATACATATACATATCTCGTATATATATCTCGCGCCTCTTAAAAGCGTTTTAACGTCCGAAAATCTAATTCGTAATTCGTACACTAACTTCGTATAAGTCACCCCAAAACTAAAAATTTATAAATTGGTATTTTGTCGTCCTCTACCATTAGCTACCTAATTATATGGTTGTTTAAATAACTTACTTTATTCCATCTTTATTGAATAGTTCACATAAAGTACGTGAAAAATAGGCTTAAGTTATTAATAATTTATATTCTTTTGAATAAGAGACTAAAAGTTACATTTACCCCACCTTAGCTAATGCAACTATCAGTTAAATGACCTTGTTGTAATCGTAATCTATAGTTTGGAATAAGGGTATATATAGTTTCACACTACAGGTATTAAATTGGTATCTAGATGTTGGGAATAAGGCTAGTTTCCAGAAAAAATAATTTAAACTTTTATGGGCGAATGCACTGCCTCCCATACTTGCTAGTGTTGGAAGATACGTACTACTAAATTTATCGATAAATCTTTGAAAAAAAAATTCGATGAAAGGACCGAAAAATTATTAGTCTGATTTAAGGTAAAGAATTAAAATGCGATTCATTAAAAATAAATCTTCATAGTAAAAGGTTTAAATTTCTTATAATAAATAAACATTAAGGACAGTAAGTATAATAGATAACATGAAAGTAGATAAGTACAAAAACGCAGTCTTGCTAAAGTTATTTTTTGGGAATTAAATCAAATTTTTGCTTAATGTCTAGCTGACTTAATAATATTGGCATTTAATAATGCCACATTATGTGAGTAATCATTAAACCTAGGATAATATTGATCAGTCCAGTAATTCTTACTGCAATTTTAATTGAGAGATTCACTGGGCAGATGCGGTAAGTATCGTTCTGTCTCTCAATTAAAAAATCGTAACTTTATGTAAAGGCTTTCATAGTTTTATAGTTTGAATGTATTTTGTGCACGCCTAATCTGCCTTTCAATAACACGTATTATTAAGTTTTCTATGTAAATAAATTCAATTAAATTATTAACAAAAACAATATATAAGTTTAAAAAATACGTCACAGATACCAAGGTAAATATTTTATGCAAATAGATAGTGAACTTCACTTGTTGAAATATCGACACGGAACTTCACTAGTGATTTGATTTTTCATACAAATACAATGGGGCTATTGCAACTCAAAAATAGTTGCAATTACCCATCTGCACAAAAATTTGAGGTTAATGTAACTATGTCAATAAAATGTTAATTAAAAGACTTAGCCTTTAACCAAATATACCAAAAGCACTTACGTTTTATATTTATATTAGGATGAACCTTCAATTTGGCTGGAAATAACGTGAAATATTTTTTATGGCACAAAACTAAACAGACGGCCCCAAAACTTTCTCCAAAATGGCGGTAGTCAAAAATGCTCTGTCAGTACGACAGTAAGCGACTTAAAAGCTCCATCTAGACTTTATAAAAAAAAGTAATAATTGCTCTACTCTTCAACAGATCGCACGTTTTACAAAAATCATTAAATTGTGAATAAAATCAATTAGTCACTTTAGCCCCATAGTTGCTTTCGCCCCGGGTGACCTTATATATATATTTACTATCTCAATATACTTTCATGGTAAATTTACAAAATATATACATATATATTTTGTAAATGTTCCATACAATACATATATGTATATATACTTATATATACTTCGTATATATATACGAAGTTAGTGTACAAATTACGAATTACAGCCCGTTCCCACTAGTCGTAAGTCACATAAGACTAAAAGTCGAATGTCTGATGTCCCTGTTCACACTGCGTCGCGAGTCGTATAGGTCGTAGTTTCGTGCCATTCGGAATAAAACACGAAAGGAGTGAGCAAGCATTGTGTAGCGATCTAGGAAGCGGGGCGGGGAGAGAGGTAACAACGCGCTCGAGTAAGACGACTAGTGTGAACAGCAACAAGCAGGCACCTATGCGAGCATGATTCGACGCGACTTTTAGTCTTAAAACGGGCGCTGGCCCGTCGGATGGTTTTTTGAGTCGTATTAGACTAAAAGTCGCGTCTCATCTAATGTGAACAGCTCCATATAAAGTGTATGGTGACCAGAGCATTCGACTTTTAGTCTTATGCGACTTACGACTAGTGGGAACGGGCTGTTAGATTTTCGGACGTTAAAACGCTTTTAAGAGGCGCGCCATTTTTATTTTATGCAAATTTCACCAATTTTGGAATATCCATACCTTTCATTACAAAGATGTGACGGTGTATTAAAGCATTCGCGTGAAAAATCACAAATGAAAAATAATATTTATTTGACTATATACCGACTAAAAGGTTACTTTCAAATTTATAATATACAACTTTAAAACAGTGATAAATGTGTTTAATTGCGGTAAAAGTGTTTTATTATTTTGTTACCTCCGAATTAATAAAACATAATTTTAGACCACACTATGAAATCAATAGTTTACAATTTTGTGTCATATTATCATAATATATGTGTGTTTTTCATTGAAATTATATTTATACTAATAAAAAAAAACGAGACAAGGATCTTTTTCAAACAAGTTAAAAAGGAAGGCTCGAAAACCAAAAACAATTTTTTGTGTAAAACCCGTGTAAAATTGTAAACCCAACTCCACATTGTCTATTCCTAAACCTTACATTACTATAGTCTATATCAAGTTCTATACTCTACATTCCGCATCAATAGACAACAGCTTTGCTTTGCTTTGAAATCTGTGTGAGAGTATTTAAAAAACTCTACACACAGATTTCTATTAATGTTTTAAATTCAATTTTTTAAGAGATACTTGACATAGTGATCTAACGTTAGATTTTAAAATGAATTCCATAGATTTAATTCTAAGCAATGCAAGCGTATTAATTTGAGTATGAATTTCTTTCAAAAATATATAAACAGATTTTTCTTTTAAGCTATCATTCCCATGTGTCAACTTTTGACATTAGTTTAGACGAATACATATGTATATTAGAAATATTGTGTGGCTACCAGCCAGTCCTCTCGCGAGTTTCCGTAACCGGAGAAAACTAGATAAGAATCCATTTACATAAAAGGACCCGCACCACGACTGTTTATATAGCTTGGTTTGAACCTGTAAAGCCGGTTCAAATCCCGGCGGAGAGAGTTGCTCGGATTAATACCTGCAGCTGAGTTTCATCATCGGACATCGACGCAGAATACGAAATTCCACCCGTATCAAGTCGACGTCCGTTTCACTGAGTGTTTTTAGGCAGTTTTTGCCGGGCACCACTACTATCTACCAGCTACTAAAGTATTTCCGAACCAATTTAAGTTCCTTCAAGAAAATAATAGATCCAATTCCTTAAAGGCCGGCAACGTACTCGCGAGCCCTCTGGCGTTTGTCCATGCTCACTTAACACTAGATGAGCCTCCTTCCCGTTTTCCCCCTGTTCTATAAAAAGGAATCCCGGCGGAAAATAGTAAAAGTGCATATGTGGAACTTCGCTATTAACGAAATATTAAGTTTTTAATTTATATTGCCTTTCAACCAGTACATTACTCGGATTACGAGTGTACAGTGTACTAATTTAGTCGTATTGTTCTGTACCTACTAACCGTATAGAAAAATACTTTTACAAGCCGATGAATTCGCTAGTTACCTTTATGCAAAGATTGTTCTTACAAAAAATCTGCAGGATTCAATATCGGTAAATATTAGTTTGAAAAAGCTTATTTCTTACTTCACGCAACTACTGTCAAACCATACTTACAGCTCTCCATTTGCAGTTTACATTCTTGAGTATCGTGAGGGTAGATGAGGAAGTTCATAGCACAGGACAACTTCAGCGTCAGCTTCACCATGTACAAAATGCTTTTATCCTTATAAAGCCAGACATAGTGGTTTGGTATGGTCATAGTCTGGAAGGTAACAGACTTCGCGTTCTTAAAGAAGGAGTCTGGCCGCCACATGTGCTTCAGCCAGTCCACTTCTAACAGCCTGTAGAATATTTAAACATGATTTTATATGGAAATAATACTTGTGAATAAACGTTAAGTAGCGTATGTTAGAAGCAAGGCCGATTTAAATGTCTGGAGTCCCTGGGGGCCACAAAAGAGTGGTTCCAAATTATTTTCCAAATAAAATGAACATTTTTTTCAGTCGAGTTTTTCAATCACACATTTACTGTGAAACCAAGTAGATTATTTTAGTATTTAGCAAACAGATAAAAAATATCAAAAGAAAACTTGTTTACTAGTGGGAATTTAAAACATTTTTTTCCCGGGCAGTAGCCCCGGTTGGCTCCCCTAAATCCAGCCCTAGTGAGAAGCTTTCGTTCGTTCGTTTAGACATTTTTAAGGTACCAAAAGCACATGATAAAAACCTGATTACTGTATATAAACTTACCTGAAACAAAGTTCAGACTCAATTTTTTCTCTGATAAGGACAAGGCAGTCAGCTATTAATATATTTTTATTTATTTGAAAATCACTAGCATATTTAGTTTATATAAGATAAGAAGAGACGAGAAGAGTGGCTTGAGCATGCGCCTCTCAACCCTGAGTTTTCGAGGAGCAGCAGCAGGATTTTTCTCAATATGGGAGCATTAAACGCTCGTACAGTGAAGGAAAAACATCAGGAACAAGCCAGCGTTAGACCCAAAGATCGACGGTGTTTGTCAGGCACAGACCGATCATCTTCTTGCCAATTACAGAAAAAAAAATAACATGTTAGGCAAGGTTTCAGCACCATTGGTCTTCTAGATAACAAAATATATCAGTGGCGCTACAACCTTTTAACCTCAGATTTCGGTATCTGATTCTAATAGGCAAGTAGATGACCAGCCTCCTATGCCTGACACACCTTGTCGGCTGTCGACTAAGGCAAGCCGGTATGTTTCTCAAACATCTCAGTATGTATTCCTTCACTGTTCGAGCGATTGCTAAGTGCGCACATAGAATGAAAGTCCATAAGTGCATACCCGGGGATCGAACCTACGACCTCAGGGATGAATGTCACACGCTTGAGCTCTCTTCTTCGTATATTAAGTATTAGCTTACACAACTTACCTATATTCTGTTGTCATGTTTTCAGGTAGTCTTAGACGAAAGTCCTTCCAAGTTTGGGCAAAAAATATATCAGCAGCGTATGTCTGAAACACAATATTTACAAATAGATTACCGATCTATAGGAAACTGAGGGCTTTGGTTAGAATATTATAGAATATCTTTGGAAATAAATATACCCTAAGTAGCAATATTTGAAATCTATCTAGAAGTAAGTTTATTTGTTGCCAACATTTATTATTATTATATTTATTATCTTTAAAGCTACGATGCCACCCGCTGGTGGGGAACTAAAAAAAACTGTGGGAACAAAAGCGATGGGCTGACGACATAGTTAAGGTTCCAGGGGGATATGGTTGGAGGAAGCTAAGAACAGAACCAAATGGAAAGTTCTGGAGCCTTTACCCAAAAGGGATCTACACTGCAGAACACAAAGAAAAGGAAATAACAATAACTAACGTAGATTAAAAGTATAATAACAAAACTAACTCTAATCATCATAAATCTATAATGTATTTTTTTTAAATTGAAATAAATGAGTTGACTTTGTCTTTTTGACTTAGAACGTCCATTTTATATGTAATTTTTAACAGTAGAATTAAAGTGGCTTTATTTTTATTCTATTACTATAAAGCTATTACTGATACGATAGCTGTACACAATAATACCTACACATATAATTCTACAATTAAAAAATAATTGAAAATATATATGAATAATACCTATCTTCATCTTCAGCATCTTATTACTAATATTACTTGTTTAAGCTATCACAGAATATGCTTAAAAGGAAAATTAAGAATATGCATAGCGGTAAATCACCTGCATTATGAGCACACCCCACCTACACACCCTCACCTACATACCCTCACTTTCACACCATCACACAACACAGCCAAATTAGGTTATTACGTATACGTATTTCATATTTTTATTGGCTTTCTTAAATTTTTTAAACTTTTTGTATTAGTATTCCATTTTTGGCTACATGTTTCGTTTAATTGTTTTTATAGTAATCTAATGAACACGCATTTAAATTGAAGAAAGAGAAGATTTATGGGAAACTCAATTTAGGTAGAATAGTAATCTAAATATATAATACGTATGATTTATAATTTAAATTAATTAATAGAAATATAAACAAATGTATAATGTTTGGTTTCTGCGGAAGTGTACCTTTAATGCTAGCATTTACTCGCTGTATTGCGATACTTGCTCTGGGGTCACCGGTACTATCTACCAGGCGACAACTTAAATCTTTAATTATCGCCTGTGCACTTGAGCCCCAATTGTCTTATTGACTCTCTCTTGTTTTTTGTTGTAAATGATTTATGTTAGCTGTATGATAACGAAATAAATAAATACAAATCAACAATTTTTTCGTAAAAATACAAAAGATTTAGTAACAATTTGTAATATTTTATTATGTTGCTTCATTATGTTTGTCTGGTAACGATGCTTGTTAACGATTTGACCGCTCGTTGGGATCAGTTGTCCGTACTTACCAATCCGAAACAATGTTTTGTCGTGACTCAAACCCAAGGCCTCCGACTTACCCGTACTGCCAATATAGTTTATTTTTGTTAACCTAATCCTGAATTGAAATGTATTCCTTAAGCTCCAAATTATTTGTTATAATTATTATTGAAAACACTGGCAAAAAATATCATATTCAATTATATTTTCACTAAATTTCTCACTAAATTTGCACTCGGCATACGCCTTGAAAAACATTTAAATACATTTTGCAACTAAATAGGTTTATAGGTTAACTGGGTACTTTTAAAAAAAGCCACTCAAAAGCGCTTTAGTAAAAACCTGTATTTACACTAAATATTTGGTTGAATGCTTCATTTCGGGGTATTTAATGCTTCATTCATACAAATATATGGTGTCAGCTGATTGACGTTCAATAGTCTTAGTTCTATACAAAAAAAAAATATGTCCATCTTGTTTTACATTATTAATCAACACGGTGGCTTTCGGTCAGACAGATAGTTAAACGTTTTCGACGCTGCTTTACTTAAATCGAAACGCTAGCGAGTTGATTGAATATCGATATTTAATTAAATGTCCAGAGATTCAATTAAATCTCTGATTTAACTACTTTACTGCGACATATATCAGACAATATAGACTGATGCCACTGCAACGAACATTTGTATTACTTTAGTTGTCTTTGAAATCTCGGCCAGCGAAGGTCCTACTCATTAAAGCTGGCGGACAGTACCAGAGACATAGAGCTGATGTTGTCACAACTGTTTTTGAGTATACTTTGATATTGGGGATTTTCTAACGACACCTACAATCTTAGGCTGCACTCAGAACGATGACGTACCCCAAATTCCGTTAACAAAGTTATTCCGACCGCTAATCTTAATATATATAAATTACGTATCACGTTGTTTTAAGTCCGCTATGGACTCCTAAACTACCGAACCGATTTCAATCAAATTTGCACACCGTGTGTACTTTGATCCAACTTAAAAGATAGGATAGCTTACATCTAAATTTATACCCGCAATATTATTTTATTGCAGAATATTTGTTTATTATTTGATAGTCACAATTCTAACAGATGTCGCTGTGTTGAAAGTACCAACGTTTCACATAAGCTACAATTTAATGGCACTACCACCAAAAAAGCATGGTGGTCCCAATGACTGGTGTTCTCCTACCGTTTCCCTTGAATAGGTTACTACTATGTAATATAACTAAAACCTTAGTCACAGCAACGCTTGGCCGGTCTGCTAGTCATATACTTATATAACTTCTCGACTTTGTCCAGTGGGGTCGTAGGTCAGTCGAGAATCCCCCTTTAAGTTGTGAGGAAGAGCACATCATCCTTCTTACACAAATTACTAGCAGCATTGGACCAATTAAAAATTGTTTGTTTGTAGGTTTTAAAAGTAGTAGTAATAGTGGCCTCGTTGCGGTCTTGTTAGGCGATTGCTTCGCTCGTGGAATCGGGTTCGAGTCCCGGTCGAGCGCAAGTTTATATTTAAATTTTGTTCCCTGGCTTGGGTGGAAAGTGATTAAGCCAAACATGGACTCTATTATAGAAAGGAGGCTGTATGTACGAAATATGTATGTATCAATACTTCCTAGGCTGAGGGTGGAAAAATAGCTAGTGGAGCCGCAATTCAATATCCATTTTTGCGTCAGTAGAATGCGAGAGCTATGGAGTCTTGTAGGAACTAGGAGTGGTTTTAAAGAGTTTTGCTCACCAAGTCTCTTCTCCCATTCAGATTCTGGTATGGATCAAGTCCCTCATCCCGCAAAAAAAGGTTCCTATTTTACTATGCTATATTATATAGCCTATATTATTTTTACGCAAACATAACGTAAGGATATCTTAAATTATGTCAATGTTTGCAGATATACACAAATAACTCCTTGCCTTAAAGCGGAAAATTTTTCCCCCCAAAAAAAAGGCCCGGGGCCCCCCCCCTTTCCCAAACCCCTTTTCTCCCCCCCCCCAAAAAAAACCCACCCCCCCCCCCCCCCCCCCCCCCCCCCCCCCCCCCCCCCGGCGGCGCCCCCCCCCCCACGCCGCAAAAAAACCCCCCCGCTGCCCCCGGGGGGCCCGGGCCAAATTGTGCCCCCCCCCCCCCCCCCCCGCCCCCCCCCGCCCCCCCCCCCGGGGGGCGGGGGCCGCCCCCCCCCCCCCCCCCGGGGGGGGGGGGGGGGGGGGGGGGGGGGGGGGCCCCCCCCCCCCCCCCCCCGGGGGGGGGGGGGGGAAAAATTTGCCCCCCCCCCCCCCCCCCCCCCCCCCCCCCCCCCCCCCCCCCCCCCCCCCCCCCCCCCCCCCCCCCAAAACCCCCGGGGGCCCCCCCCCCCCCCCCCCCCCCCCCCCCCCCCCGGGGGGGGCCCCCCCCCCCCCCCCCCCCCCCCCCCCCCCCCCCCCCCCCCCCCTCCCCCCCCCCCCCCCCCCCCCCCCCCCCCCCCCCCCCCCCCCCCCCCCCCCCCCCCCCCCCCCCCCCCCCCCCCCCCCCCCCCCCCCCCCCCCCCCCCCCCCCCGGGCCCCCCCCCCCCCCCCCCCCCCCCCCGGGCCCCCCCCCCCCCCCCCCCCCCCCCCCCCCCCCCCCCCCCCCCGGCCGGGGGGGGGGGGGGGGGGGGGGGGGCCCCCCCCCCCCCCCCCCCCCCCCCCCCCCCCCCCCCCCCCCCCCCCCCCCAAATTGAATACGTATATATTGGAATTCTCAAAGGTGAAACTTGTTTGGTTTGCCAAGTGTATTGGTACAAAATAGAATTTCTTATTTCTTACAAATAATAAATTCAGAAATAATTTGTCTATAATAATGTTTCCACTAAGTAAGGAGTAGCAACATCAGAAGAAAGACTAAGGTACAGGACATAACTTTGAAAATAAGAAGACAAAGTGGAAATGGGCAGGCCACATGATCAGGGGAAAGGACAAATGGAGTAAAATAATCACACAATGGTACCCAAGAGATGGAACGAGAAAGAGAGGTAGACCACAAAAAAGGTGGGACGACGACATTATTGTAATTTAGAATTCTTGTTTCCGATAATGTCCAATGTCTAAGTGTCACTTAGATTTAAGAACTCTTCAATAAGTCAAGTTACTTTTTTGTTAATATAGCGTCGCAACTCCCCCTAATTTTATCTTTGGTATAAGCTCACGTTTGAAACAATTAAAACCAGTTGTTTCCCAACCTTAAACAAAGTGTTTTATTTTACATACACTCGTATATGAACATATCTACAACAACCACCGAACTTGACTCGCTTAAAATGTAATTAATTCTAGGAATTCAGTTTTTACTTAAGTGCTAGGTATAGTGTCCGTCTATTATCTGTTATATTTCCTACTTTGGTATACGTAATAGAATATTATGTATTAATGAAAAGTGTATTAATGATTAGCAGTGAAATTCCCTAAGCACATAGCTCTATTTTGCTTTGAGCTGCCCTAGTTCTACTGTTATTTTTCAGCGCCATTTTATAATCTAGATAATAATCTATAAATAATCTAAATGTAAAACGTTACTGTATCAATTCTATATGTAGTGCTTATAGATCTAATCAATTCATGGATGACCTGATTTTATTTATAAATAACGAAAACATCTTAAAATTTGTCTTTCAAAAGCATAAAATTTAGATATTTTAGATCGTAATTAGACGAATATAAGACAAAAAAGTTTGTTTTTGTCATAGAAGACCGATTGAAAATCTTTCAAAATTTATGGTTTTAATTTTTTAATTGAAGATGATATCATTAAAATGTATATGTTTATCGTCGTTTATCAATCGAGTGCCTAGCGGGACTATGTGAACGTAAAAATCAAATCTGATCGCGCGGTCTTTTTGAATAAAAAATTCAGCAAAAAATACTAAAAAAACTAAATAAATGTAATAAAATTATTACTCTCAGAAAGGCAAAGTTTATATTTCCTTTTCGTTTTTGTGCATAATTAACCAAAAAATCATGAAATAACCTTGGGACAAGGAACGAATTTTTCTAGTTTATTATTAAAAATGTGATAGTTGATAAATTGACCGCAAGCTAAACAATAAACTACAAGCTCCCACCTTATCAGAATGCCAAATCGTAAAATGACTGCTTCACGACTGATTTGAGAGCGACTGCCGATGCGAAAACCGCTGTGTGAGTTCGAAAAGTGAGTTACAGAATCGCAAGGCAGGTCATTAAGGACCAAACGTTGACTGTTCGAAACATTTTTGTAGTAGTAAGCAACTACAATCTGTCGTTTATTTTTATAGGAAATAATAACAAGTTATTTACAGTATTGCAATGATTGCTCCAGGATTTAACATGTCTGGCTGCAAATCTGTCTCAGATATAAATGCAGAGGAAAAAATTAACAATACAACAAAGTGTTCGAACTCCCTTGTGCCTCGTGCCTTGGCTTCTATATTTTCACGAAAGAAGAAATCTAAGCAACAGTTCTTTTCGAAAATTGTACTAACCATGGAATTCTCGTCGATCGAGTCGAGTCCCATGACAGTGACGTGGAAGTTCACGATGGTTGGCTGGTCATCCTTCTTTGGGGGTCTCATCTTGTCATACAGTCTTGGGTCATCAGGCAGCAGGTCTTGGAAGGATAGCAGCGTGGACCTGATAATGAAAGATAATTTAATTTTTAATAAAGCCCTGTAAAATTATTAGCTCAGTGAATTAAATTATTGTTTTTTTCAGTGAACGAAGACAGCAAGGCGTGACGGTACTCCACTCCAGGACGCCGATTGCTATAAAGACGAAATTCAGCCCCACAGGGGGAACTGTTCACTCTTCCGAGTCCCGACCAGTACCAGCTCCTTCCACTTTACTGTATTCAACGTAGAGCGATTTGAATCGTTGGCACTCACTTTCCGAGCGTCTTGATCCCTTAGCATTGAGTAGAGTTTCTTGCCCATTCTTCTTCACACGAAACTACTTTTGGTAGGGGCAACTACATAGAATCATCTTTATATTTTATTTAACGTTTAAAAGTACCATTTTAGGTGGTCTCATTGGAATAAATGATTTGACTAGTGACTATTGAAATGTGGGATTTCTCTGCGTCTCCTACCATATGTACAATGGAGACTGATCAGAAGAGTTGTTCGGGTTAATACCTGCAGCTGAGTTTCATCATCGGTCGTCGAGGCAGAATACGAAATTCCACCCTTATAACCTCGACGTCCAATGTTCCACTTAGAACTTTTACGGCTTTTTTGCCATGTACCACCACTATGTAAAATTAGATACCCATTGAAGACCCCACTCACGCTCTTCTGTGCGATTCCTAAAAGCCCGGCAATGCACTTGGGCGCACTTGCACCTAACATCAGGTGAATATAAAAATACATGATGGTAACTACTAAATGAGACTTGTGGAGTGAGTGAAAGCCAGAGAAGTGGCTCGATCGTGTGCACTAGAAGAGAATACAAAGTCACTCAATTGAATATTCAATTGAGTGACTGAGTCTCGTGTATCTTCTCAAGACATTTGATTCAATTGGCAAGAGTGTTTCAATAAACACATATGTACCTGTTTATATAATATAAAAACACAAATGCATATTACCTTGTTTATTAAGTTAATTAAGGACATAATAAATTACAATACTTTATTACTTTAAAAGGTTGTATGCAATTACGTTCCCATATGACACTACAGAAACATTTTATGTAACATTTGAATCATTTAGAATTTCATTTTGCCTACACAGTTGGAAAAGCCCTCAAAGAAACAGCACATTAAACTTATAACATTTCAAAATACATACACTCATATTTATTAAATTAAGTATTGCTAAGCTATGCAAAAATACATAATTCGTGTTTTTTATAGCAAGCTAGCCTATGGGACGCCCAAAAACGGCAGTCATCGCAGCCCATGGGCACCCAATATAGTGGGTTGCGCCCCTTTAAGGGTTTCAAGGTTTCAAGCATTCGTCTATGTTATGATGATTTCTAGATTATGATTATGTATATAGGGAGACTTTAAATTTCTTTCCGGAATTCGAACTATTGTAACAGTTAAGCCGTAACGTATCTGTCGAAAGGTTTTAATTAAAATTTAAACTCCATTGTTAACTTTTAACAACAGTTAAGTACATTTAACTAGTATCAAGCTGAGTTTTATAAGCTTATATTAGCGGATAAAACAAGTTACATTTTACGTTATAAAAAGACTTGATATACTCATGTGCTGATGTTCATATTAAGGGCATTGTTAGTGTGGTCTAGCATTCGAACCCCGGCAGAATAATCCTGACAAGGAGGTTATCAGTTCATGTATTTAGGCTTCCATGGATGTGTTAAAGATGTCGTTATTTTTGGCCACAAATTTCTCGGAAACTCAAAGTCATATCGGAACAGTCTTTCATCAAAATCGGTTTTATATGCGAATTTCTTGCAGTATATTTATGCATACGTAAATAACGGTTTTAAAGTCGGTTGAATTTTTCTAAATTACTTTTATTATGTATGCGCAACCTACACATACCAATCTGTAAAAACCGTGAGGAACTATAAAAATATTCCGTATATTAATTAGTAATTACCCTTAACTATATGTGATACTGTACTATACATTGCCAGATCGCAAGTGTGTTGCCGACATTTTTACATGAGTCTCCTTGCTAATAAAAACTATGCATGAGATAGAACCTGAAAGCTGAGTGTAAAAATCAGAAAATGTCAAATAGATATGACTTTGACAAACGGGGATCAAAATTTGCGTTAACTGTCACTCACTTCTACCCCAAGATTTAAATTTGACCTTGGATCTGCTTTCCTTAAATATAAGCCAAAACTGCATTTTTTTTTTCAAAAATAAAGAAAATTGTTAATGTAAAAGGCTCACACAGGCTAACATAAGAATTATGAAGGAGATAATATTTAAAAATGTAATATATAATAATTTTACTGTAACAATTAGTTTACTAGTTTGATCGTTCCACTAAAATATTAAAGGTAAATTCGTGTTCATATATTTAATTAATCATTATAGAGACATATTTGGAACCCGTAGTACTCGTATGGCATGCGATAAGGAAACGTCTCAACGTTTTGTTCCAATAAAATAAATAGAATTTACAATCAGGTGAATTTGCATGGTCACGTGAAGAATAAACTATAGTATATGGAATTATATGTTGTGTTACAACGATTTGAAATAACTACATCGAAATGTAAAGAATATTGCATGTGCAAATTATACATTCAGCAACTTAGAGTGGCTGTTTTATATTTAATGCAAGGGCCGGATTTAGAGCTTTTGAGGTCTCGGGGCAACAAAGGAGTGGAGGCCCCCTGGCCCCAGATAATTTTCCAAATAAAATGAACAATTTGTAGAGTCGAGTTTTTCAATCAATAATTTATCGTGAAACCAAGTAGATTCTTTTGTATTTAACAAATATATGAAAATATATCAAAAGAAAAGTTGTTTACTAGTGTTTACTAGTCGGAATTTCTATTGTGGAGGCCCCTGGGCTGTAACTCCGGTTGCCCTCCCTAAATCCGTTCCTGTTTTATGATTTGTTTAAAATTAGCGGTACCTGATAATCACAGTCGCCCAATATGTTATATATAAAAAATAAATTGAAACAACGAAACGATTAATAATTATCAATAGATAGAACAGTGAGAGACATTAAAAAATATCTCTTGGAGATATTATATAGAATACAATAAGATGGGACTTTTTTTATAAACAGCGCTACGAGACCCCGTATATCAAATTAAATACGTTTTAGTCATACTCAAATCTTACCAATAGGACATTCCTTGTATATAAATAAAAAAATATCGCTTGATAAATTTAATTCTTTTAATAGAGGGAAAATAACTTGCAAACTAATATATAATATCACTGCATACTAAACTTATGCGCCTGAAATAAATTAAAAGCAATTCTAGTTCTCAAGACGCACATTTAAATTCATGTAGAAGTAAACATTTTGCATCCGATAGATTTAAGGTATTTTATTACATACCATCTTTTTTTTAAAGAACAGGGGATGTTAATTGATAGTTTTTAAGAATTTATACGCTCTTTTCTTGAAGGACCCTAAGTCGCATTGGTTCGGAAATACTTTAATGGGCAGCTGGTTCCACATAGTGGTGCGCGCCAAAAACTGCCTTAATAAACGCTAATTTGTGGAAACCACGGACGTCGAGGTGATACGGGTGGAATTTCGTATTTGCCTCGACGTCCGATGATGAAACTCAGCTGCAGGTATTAATCCGAACAACTCTTCTGAACACTCTCCAGGGTAGAAAGGCTTCACACAACCGGGAAGTCCTGGTTTCGATTATTGGCGAAAAGTTAGCCGTTTACTCGCGCTGCAACCTGACATTTAAAAAATACACTGTACATAAAAATAAATACATTGGTTTAGTATATTCGTGAAATTTATTGAGTCAAAGATCTTAGTCTAAATATTGGGTCTTAGTCTAAGTGAACAATAGTATGACTTACTGAGCGTAACATAAATCGCCAGCCCCCAGCCACAGCCGAAGCAAAGCAGTAGCTAACCACAGGTACCTTTCGGCCGCCATTTTTAATATTAACTATAAGTACATTTTAATTTATATAAAAATAGTATTCCTACTAATTTTTAACTTCACTTATTTTATTAGTTTTGCATGTATTTATCATTCATTTTAAATTCCTTAGAATATTACGATAAACGCGTTCAAAAGTTCGTAACTTTTTTGAGTTCTGATTGACGGCGTGCGGACGAGCGAACTAAAGGCGGTAAAAATTCATTTTTGTATGAATTTTCCGCGCATGCGTTTTTTAAGAAGCAGGTATTTTTATCTGTATTTATACTGATACTCTAGTGGATTATATCGCGTGAAGGAAGTCCTGGGTTTGATTATATTTTTGTGTTTGTTTTAAGAATTGATAGTCAACATATTTTTCTTTGAAAAATATTTTACCGAGCCCGAGCTATACTTACTATATTTTTGTCACAATTATTTTTTATAATACATCATGACATCATGGAACAATACGATATAGCCTAATTTACTAAAAAGGATATTTAACATAAGAAAGTGTCCAATACCACAATCCCGACTCTATTTAGTTGAAGACACTCTGTTTTTGTGTTAAATTTTTTTCACTTACCATAGTGTAGCACTTAAGACCAACGTGCACTAATTCCAATGGTTTCACCTTTTCAGTCTTCTCATTAGGCAATTTTCTGGTGTCAACTGTCAAGGAGTTGAATAGCCTCGACATTCACGTGATGGTGGAGCCTATGTTTGTGGGCTCCAGCAGTCTTTTTTATTATTGTGGCGACGTCAAACAAAAACTTGCGCTTAATTTAGAAGGTCAATGTTTAAAGGTATTAATAAAAGTTGGTGCTAATTATAAAAATACTTATTGCGTCGCGTTGCGGCTAGCTTGCAGTCACTTGAGGCGAATCTTGCTTGTCACTCAAGCACGTTTCAAACCACTTTTGTATTGATTCTCAACCAATTTGGCTTTCATCTCAACTTCTTAGACCAAGCGTACCTTTGTTTTGACTGATTCGAAATAAAGGGTGTTATTTTGGTATTTACAGTCGAATCTCAATAATTTAAATCTCCCTTGAGTTATTCAAATAATTAAGAGTTCAAAAAAACAAGCGTTTATATAACCACGAGGGGGAGGGGGAATTAAGTAAATAAGTTTGAAATTCCTGATTTATTAGTTCTACATTATTATTATGTATTAACAATTAAATGCAATACACAGTTCACAAATTTATATTCAGAAAAGAAGGCTATGTATTTGCGTGTTGTTCGCACGAGAATGTAAGTGCGTGCTCCTATTTCACCATGCCTCTTGCTGATAGAGGGCAAATCTTTGTTTTTAATTTATTTTATTATTATTTATTACTTAAGATGTCATGTGGAACATAGTGTAGTGGTTGCAGCTCCTTACAAACGTTGTGTAAAACAAAAAACTTAGCGATTAAAAAGAGTGGCGGAGAGTTTATTGCCAGTTCTTCTTTTCCGTTCTACGCCCTTGATTTTAGAACTGGCAGTAAATGTAAAATTAGAAGCATTTAATGTATATTTCTTATTTGACGTTCTTATGTGTACATTGTGTTACCTATACAAATACATAATTTTTGACTTTGCTATATTCTTTGTTTCGAGTTTATCATCGTCCAAATAATTAAAAAAACAAATTGACAGATCTGTGCACGATAAACACTTCAAATTATAGAGAGTAAGGAAGTCCGGACTTCTAATTATAGCATGTTGGCCAGCAAGATAATATTTCTTTAACTTCAAGTTACCGAGGGGATTAATTGAAACTGATTGTATTCAATTTATCGAGTTTTTATCAAGGGACCGAAAAAAAATCAAATTTTCTAGAGATTCAATTTCACGAGTATTAATTTATCAAGAGTCGACTGTATAGTCAAATACGTCATCTGTCGTACGATAAATATATAAACTAAAAGAAACAATGTTTCTCTAAATTAGGCTTTGGTCTTTCCGTCAAGTTTTTACTATGGGAGCGTTCAAGTATTACGTAACGAATTTGGGGGGGTCCTTTTGTAAAACGATACAGGGCGGGGATTGAATTATGCCGTATTGTTAATATTATTCTCGACTTTCCAGTACTTTACACCACATAGTAACTATTAGGTATAAAGAGTCACTATACTTGGGTACAGTACTGTACTCGAGTACAGAAAAACGTTACGGCGCGTGACATGCGGGGTGGGGTCAATAATCTCCAAAAATTGCGTTACGTAATACTTGAACGCTTCCTATGATGAAAAGAGATGGAAAATGAAATTATATTACAAATTAAATTAAGTTACAAAAATGTAAAAAGCAAATGAACGTTGGACATATTTCTAGTAGAAATTGTCCCATTCTTAAAGATTTTTCTCCCTATGTTGGGATACAATAGAGAAGATAAATTTGGTTTTCGTAAGCATCCTCAAAGTTAAGTGCGAGCAACGACACCCTCTAGAGTTACTCGTTAGCCCATATAGTCTCGACAATATAAAATAAAATCCTAAATAAATTCACCAATATTCATGAGAATGTAGAAACACAATGTATGATATTAATTGCACGTTAGGAGATATTCATAGCACCCGAATAGTTTTATACAGACATAAACATAACATTTATAACTAACAAAAACACACACACATAAAGACACAAAATAACAATAATCAAAGAAAAAAAAAGAGATATAAAAAAATCCCTTTTCCCATTCGGTTCGTTTCAAGTGTGTAATGCGTGTGTGCTGTGGTTGTAATTGGCCCTGGCTCAGCATTATGCTGAGGTGCAGAATGTTCCACAGCACTGGTCAATCTGCCAGGGACCACAGCAGCTAGTAATATAGATTTTAGTTTTTAAATTTGTATAATTTTGAACATTAATTTGGGAAAATTTACATACATTATTTGCACATTAAAATATAATATATTTTGCTCGCTTGCATCTAACTCAAACTCAAAATAACTTAATTCATATAGGTAATCAAGTACACTTATGAATGTCAATAGAAAAGATGTTTAATTTATTCTAAATTTACACCAGTTCCCAAGTCAAGGGCGTAGAGCGGGCAAGAAGAACTGGCAAAAAACTCTCCGCTACTCTTTTTAAACAAATTCAAGATTCATACAAATTGTTTGTAAAGCAGAGATACAACAATTCATAGTTAGTAATTCAATATTAAGCAATCCAGTAAAAAAAATATATAGGACTAGGACTGGAATATTAAAGACATTTTTATATTATCATACATTATATTAACATAAGTTCTAACATGGTAGGCATTTAACAGGCATTTCACGGAAAATGTTGAGTGAACAGGTTTACGTTATCAAATTACTTGTAACAATAAAACAACACAATCAAATATATGATCGTATAAATACATGAAATAAGTTGGTGATAAAGTTAAATGACAATATTACACCATTATTGGACCAGCAAATAAAAGTTTATATGTAATAGCAGAAAATAGAATCTCAGGTCCTGTGAAATATTATTGGTTTAATCTTAATTCCTTCCATCAGTTTTAAATAGGCTCTGGACTTAGTCGAGATAGATGAAGTCGCGCATAACTGCCATATTCAATCTCTACGTGGCACTAATTAAACGCTCGTTTATTCTTTTAATGCCTTTTATTTCATCCTCTATATCTTGAAGCGTTCTATCTTTGGTCTCTATTAGAGTGAAATATAAACCTATAACACATACAAGTAAACACGTTGCAAAAATCGCGAACATCCCTTCAACGCCCAATTCATCTATAATTTTTGGTATACATTTTACAGTTATCGCATATAGGCCAGTAAACAATACACCGGCAGCAAAGGAACCTGTACCTTTGTGCTCCAATGGATATATTTCTCCAATCACAGTAAAGGCTGTTGGAATTACTCCTACAAAGCCCATAAACGAATTGAAAACAATTAATGAAGGTGTCAGCCAAAGCAGGTCCGCGCCGATCTTATGATTCGATTGCAAGTAAATAATAAGACTTAAAACATATGTGAGGACTGTACTGGTAACTCCAAAGTAGAGAAGGATTTTTCGCCGTGAGATTCGTTTAATAACAAAGCCCTGGAAGATCAAAGCGATCATGGTAAATATATCGGCAGCTATCGAACAGTATACTGCTGTTGATGTATCACCAGTTATTTCTACAACAATTTGTATTATGTACAGTATCATATAATATCGACCTGAAGCATCAACCATCAAAGTTAGTAACGCGACTATTAATGTTGGTTTCATAAAGTCTTTCCGAGTGAATTTGCCCAAAATCCTTTTAACCATCTCCATCGGAGTCTTTGGCCTTTTATTCCGTCTCTCCATTTGAGCTGTTAGCAGTTCATCTAGATCTTTTATACTCTTCTGGGAATTTCCAAAGAGCCAAATGTGAGACTTCTCACATTCCTTGTATTTGCCCTTCATTGCCAAGTAGGCTGGACTTTCTGGCCAAAAGAGGATCATGACTGTTGATATTGTGTAAGGGACCACAGCTATAAGTGCGATTTGTCTCCAAGTCCACGAGAAATATAAAGAATGACAGAGTAAAGAACCGAGTGATACACTGGCTTTCTTTATAGTCATAAAGTAACCTCGTCGTTTCGGATGTGAATACTCGGCAATGATAAAAATGGTTATGGTAACACCACCCATATCGATCCCTTGAATAAATTTTCCTATAAACAATCCTGTGATGCTATTTGAAAAGAAGAAACAAAGGAATCCAATAGATAGTAGACAGTTAAGAGCGATGTGAATAGTCTTTCTTCCGAAATGTTGGAAAAATGGTGGGAGAAATATAAGACCCACCAATCCCGCAAAACCAAGACTTGCAGCTGAAACAAGAGGACATTATCAGTGTCTGAGATTGTAAAGTCGGAGTCATACATTCCTCTTCAAAAGAATACTATGAGTATCAAATACCATAGTAGTCTTTCGTTGACGAAAAGTAATCGAAACTTCTAGTTAATATATTTAAATGTTTGTAATCGTGCAAAACAAAGACCTTATTAAGCCTCGAATCATCGTTATGTTGTTTTTTCACATTCAATTTTATAATGTAAATTTATTTTTTAGATACAATCAAATATACAGTATTTCGTCCCCGTAGAGCGAAAATTCATTAAGTCCAAAAAACCTGTTTCGAGATAATGAGGGTTAAAGTTTTAAGTAAGTTTAGCACGTTATGACATATTTTAATGATTTTCGTTTCATTTCGAAGGAAATCAAATTAAGTTAAAATAATGCTAGCTACCCAATTAAGTATTGTTAAGTTGCTAGTATGATTAAGTTATTGCTGAGAAAACTTAAAAAAAAAACAACTAGTTATTTGTTATCTGTAGAATATCCGATGTAGTTATGAATTAGTTAATATTCGCCCCTAGATTTTTAACTCAGATCGAGTTAATTTTTATGAAAAATAACTTGAGTTGGGTAATTTAAGACTAACTGGTACATATACAAAATATACATAATCAAAAAAACTTTTTTTTTAACTTAAGAGTTAAAAGGCATTTTGTTTTATAATAGTATAAAATCAAACTAAGTACTTTTATATAAAAAATCTTCTACACTTCCTATGGATTAAAAATGTTTACATAAAAGTAATTAAATCATTTATTTTTATAAGCTATGTTAGTTTTTGATAAATAAAAAATAGTTAACAATATGGTTAAGTTATTTCTCTTATTTACTATTAGGACCAAAGAATAGATTTATTTAATTTTCACTTTTTGTAAATCGGAAACTAGGATACCTACAAAATTGACAGTTAGACAGTTAAATAAAGAAAATAAATAAATAGTTTTAATGGCATAGATAACTCGTTTTGGCAATTTTTTTACTTAATTAGTTTTCGCTCTACGGGGACGATTTACAATTTTATTAACCTACATAGTAGTAATTATTTCACATTTATTAGTTTAAACCCCGAAAGTGATAAGCTATGTGGGGTAACTTCTTTTAAAATACAAGCATACTTACAAATCCATGATACTTCCTCTGGTGTAGCCTGTATGTCAGTAGAGTTTGATAGAAGAGCTGGGTTCAGGACAGAAGAGAAACTAAGCATGAGGCCAGTTCCGGCTGAGTGTACACTGTCTCCTATAAGTATTAGACTCTGTAAAAGAAAACGTATTTTTTAATTTAATAGTACAAATAGGTCGCGACCAAGTTCCTATGATAGAACCAAATTTTTTAACAGCCGTTATCAATGCTTACATTATTATTTTCATATTTTTTTACCCGCTCACCTGGACCCAACGGCGAATTAGTTTTTTTAAGTTACAGGAGGTAGACAGGCTCATCTCATGTTAAGTGATGCCGCCGCCCATGGACACTCGAACTCCTAGAAGGCTCGCAAGCGCGCTGTCGGCCTTTTAAGAACTGCTATACTCTTTTCTTGAAGGACCCTACGTCGAATTGGTTCGGAAATACTTCAATGGGCAGCTGGTTCCACATAGTGGTGGTGCGTGGCAAAAACTGCCTTTAGAAACGCTCAGTTGTGGAACGACGGACGTCGAGGTGGTATTTTGTATTCTACCGTGACGTTGTTGGCTTGGTGGGGACGGAGATTTGAATCATAGTTAAACAATTTGATGTACAACTTGAATATTATTTGATTATTTAATTTAAACTTCAAACCTACCTGTCTCCAAAAATATACGTCTTTTAAGCAGCTCATTTTTGTAACAATTAATTAATTAATTTCGGTGATTGCATTCAATTGTCCTGACTATCGCAAAATAATACACAGTAGGTAGGTGATATTGGTTGGAAGTCATGAATACTAATGAAGTAATGACTTATATTAATTCTTTTAATATTTATTTAATTAAATTCTAAACATTTTTATGAAACATATTCTTTTGCTACAAGTGCGCCTGTGCAATAAATAAATTCGTAAACAACCGAACGAGTCAAATTACTCATTTGACTCGTTCGGTTGTTTACGAATTGACTCGAAATACTACCCGAAGTGGGAAGGTCGAGTCGGAGTGGGGAATAGATTATAAAAGAGGTTGTAACACATGCGCACGGGCCATCATTCATCACTCTTCGATCGACTGCCGACCTGTGCGGACGTCTGCTCCTGCGCCATCCTGCTGCCATCTCGCTCACTCGCTGTGAGTCATCGCCGCTTGCCGCTGTACAGTGCGCACGCGCTGTCCGACTGCTGCCCTTGCTGCCCGCTGCCTTCTCATTGGTCGCTTCGCGTCTTCGGTGATTGGACATCGCGTTTGAAGGCTGCAATTTATGAGCGCGGGTTTACCTGCGGCCGTCCGATAGCCACCTAACGGTGCCAAACGGTTATCGAACGGTTAACGGCTTGTGCGGGTGTTTTGTCCGGGGTGCATACACCGTGCCTTTTTCAAGGCGCGAATCAGCCCCTCCGCTTCCTCCAAGTCCTGTGCGCAGCCGGGCCTCTTAGTAGGCACTTATTAGGGAGTAGGCACGCCAACTACTCTCTTGAAACCGGCTTCAATCAGGTCCACTGTTGGACGGGTCCTGTCACATCCGCAGGGGCTCTATTTACCCAAACTCCTGCGGGCTGGTTAGGTCTGTGACAAACCTCACCTCCGCTATCACCAGCGGAGACACATACATATTAGGACAAACCACAGCTTAGGTACTCACACGTTAGACGTAGGTACACACTCGCCGCCAAACTGTCTGGCTTCCCGCCTACAGGATGGCGTCTGAGGCTCAACCCCCCGACGATTTAAAATTATTTTTAAACTATTTAAGAGATAGATATCCGGATATCATTACGGAATTTTACGAGTCGCAATGTGCGGACTCACCACGCTCGCCGTCCCCGTCGCCGTTTAGGACGATGAAAAATGCCTCCGCGAAGGCACCGCGAAATAATAATAAAACCTCACCCGACCAAACCCGCCCTCGCTCGCGCTCGCGCTCACCACTCTCCGAAGTGGAAAGCGTAAGCGATGAGGAGGCGGAAAATCTAGCGCGTCCATTGTCGGCAATGTCGGCCCAATCCGCCCCGGCGGAAACGGTTGACGAAGCCGTATTATCATCTTCTTCTGAATCCGACGGATTTCAAACCGTCGGACGAAAGAAAAAGCGCTCAGTAAACGGCGGTCCTCCCGCAAAAAGGCCTACTCAGCCGACAAACCCTCCGAAGAGGGATTTAAGTTCGTTGTTATCGGACAAATCGGACAAACCTGCGCCCTCCGCCCCCGCGGATCGCATCAAAACCCCTCCGCCCGTTTATGTTAGGGACAAGGGCGTATGGCCCACCCTTTCTAAGCTTCTCGACACTAAGTCGATTAGTTATAAAGCCCGAACTTTGAGGGATAACATTTGCATACAGGTGTCCACACCTGAGCACCACCGGTTCCTTACCTCTTACCTTCGTTCCGAAGGTATCGGAGGTCACACTTTCCCCTTGCCCGAGGAGCGCGTCCTTAGGGTAGTCATTAAGGGCATCCCGAAGGAAATAGACTCCGGGGTCGTCCAAGTAGATCTGACCGAGCAGGGATACCCCGTAAGGGATGTATTCCGTATGTTAAACCGCACCACCAAAGAAGAGTACGATATGGTACTCGTAGTCTTAGACCCTACTCCGAGTGGGAAAAAGATTTTTAACCTTCGGGAGTGTTGTAAGCTCTCGGGGTTGAGGGTTGAAACTCCCCTCAAACATTCTTTCACACGGCAGTGTCATCGCTGCCAACTCTATGGGCACGCAGCCCGTAACTGTTTTGCAAGGGCGCGGTGCGTCAAGTGTTTAAGCGACCATGGCACATCGGACTGCAAGCGTACTCTTCCGTGTGCTGAGCCGCCGGCATGTGTGCTTTGCGGGCAACATGGGCACCCTGCGAATTATCGCGGTTGTCCTAGAGCCCCCAAGGCGCATAAGCCGCCGTCTAGGCGCATGGTGGGACGCGATGCGGCCCGTCGTGGCACGGGAGCAAAGCCCACTTACATGCCGGCCCCGCCTCCCGAAATTAGTCCCTGGGCCAAGCCCCCCGTTACGGAGGGCCCTCCCCAACTCACGGCAGAAGCCTTCCCGCCTCTGCCATCAAAACCGGCAACCGCAGCGCCTTCCCAGGTCCCTGCGCCACGCCCTATCATAAAAGAGAGGTCCACATTAAATGCGAGCCCTCCTACTAAAGCTCTCAGCCCTCCCGTGAAGGCAACTGAGGAGTCAGGCAGCGTCCGCGACGCTTTTAATCTTGCGTTCAGCGTAATAGACGCTATAGACTTAGACGCACTCGTCGCATTCGCGGAAGCCTTTAAGTCCGCTAAAACTGCGTCCACCAAGGTGGAGGTAATAACCGAGCACGCCCTGCTCCTTAAGTCCGTGCGGCAATTTGTAGAATCCGGCACACCGCAATAGTTACGACCATATTACCCCTTCCCGACATAAAAGGCTCTTAGGAGGGCCAGGTACACATACACACTAAAGGATTCGGATGATCCAATTACCGTAGCTAACAATAAACTAAAAGCCGCCCGCGCGGCCAATAATAATAATCAAATAGCAACCATTAGGCCCCCAACATCTCCTTCCTCACTCCATACTTCCTCCTCTTCAATTGACCCCCACCCCCCAGTTCGAGTCTCAAACCCCTTCCTATCCGAAAAACCCCATTCTGCCACTACCTCCAACCACCTCTAGCTTAACCCTAACCACATTCCATTCACCATCCTTTTCAAGTTTGAAGTTATACAGTTTACGTAAAATCAATGTGTGAATTATAGTGAATCAAGTCATCATTGGAGTGTTTAATTTCCTACCCTAAAAACTAGATCAACTACAATAGTTTGTAATACGACTTTGTATGGTTTATAAAATAAGTTGATTTATATATAGCAAACACATTTTTGCATGTTCGTAAATACATTCACTACTACACTAACATTTGAATTACGCGAGTATATTGAAATAAAAACTTTTTAACAATCTGATCGTTGAAAAATTGAGTTTAGATCAGTTTTTTTTATTTGGACGTGTTCTCTTCATGATTTAGTTTTTTGACGTGTCAACGTCTAATAAATCAATGAACGCCGGCTGCACGCACGAAAAAGCATGACTCATTGTCCCGTTACGCTCATTGTACGCTTGCACCGCATCTATTTCTCTTTCACTCGATTGGCCTATGCGTCCGGGTTCACTAGATTACAAAATAGTGATAATACATTAAAAATTATTAATTTTTTTTTGTAACTATAATAAAGCATTCAACAACACACCACAACATTGCTGTGCCTAACCAAGGTCCTTATTGTAATAAATTATGTATAAGGAATGCAATAAAGATTTGAGTTTGAATTAGATCAGAAAAGAAGAAGTTTACCGGTGTGTGTCGGAAACATAAACTATAGTATTATTGTATAGTTAATAGAATACATAATAATTCAAATTTCAAATAATTACAATATACTGACATGCGCTTATGCTTATGTTATGATATAATATCACACATTCTTCATCTCAGTTATCAATATGTTTGAAAAACGTTTTTTCTCGGATTTGCTAGGAAATAGGAAATCCGACTCCATCCGTACACGCGATATTGTCGCTGCACATCTAAAACAAAACCATTTAAAATCATGCTAACTAGTTTATATGATGATGTAAAAACGAACAAACATATATTTATAGTGTGAAATTAAATATGGTTTAGAAGTAAACGTGTTTCTTATCACAATTATCATTAAATATTCAAATTCAATTAAATACCATGCAACGTTACGCGTTCTTTACATTGGGTACACGTTGAAACTTTAGAATAAAACTTATTCAATACATAATTCGACGATTTTAGGCAATCCTGGTCATATCAACAGATTAATGATAACAATGATATATTATAATATATTAATGATATATTATAGGATGCATGCAAACTTCCTTCGGGTAGTTGAGTAAACAAAACAATTGAATTTCATTTAAAATCATTTATTATTGCAATGTCATGATACAAAATAATATGAGATACCGATGATATAAATAAAATATACAACTACTAACACACTTTGATACTTAAAATTAGCTAAAACTATATTCGCAATCTAAAATCACATAGATCCGATTTTTTGAAATCACATTTTTACATTAAATGCAATAAAACAAAATTGTCTACTTAAAACTATATTACTACTAAATATACTAATAATACTCTCAGTTAATACCTAATAATAAGAGTAATTAATAGCAATCACAATAACTTTGTTGATAAATATTGTATAATTTTTACTAACCATCCAAAGCATTTTCCATGTCCTTGTTAAGTAACGATTTCTATTTAAAAAATTCTTAATGATCAAATAAATAGAAATGGTAATATGTAAAAAATGTGATTTCAAATCGCTAGTATACTAAAATGTATACAAATACAGTGGTACCTCGATATACGAGTGCCCTAATGTGTTTTGATATATGGGCAGCCGAGCGAGCGATATTTTGCTTTGTGATGAGATTCGAGGAATTGCACTACACTAACAATTTCTTCCAGCATAGACTAGAGCTTAGTTAGCTTGTTTCCCTCGTTTTCGAAGCATTTTTACACTACATTATGACATTTCTTTTTATAACCATGGGTCCGAAGATGATGTCTATGGTATTAAAGCGTGAAATTATTTTCTTGATCAAAACAACTGAGTTGGTGTTTTGGGTGCTGGAACGAATTAATGGCATTTAAATTAATTTCAATGGGGAAAATATCTTGAGATACGAGAAAGGTTACGGAACGAATTTAACTCGTATGTCGAGGTACCACTACATTCCTTTAATCAAAAACTATAAAAGCTTTGATCCACATAAATAAACCCGCGTTACAATATAGTGTGCCTACTTGATTCCGAAGCGCCCGTCAAAAGCCTAATAATTTTAATTTAAAAAGCTAGAATACAATCTATTTTGATCAAATAGCAAATATTATTACTTTTTGGTCGCGCTACACTGTACATAAAGTTATATACATGAGTTTTCACAGCACGATGAAGACTTGTATAATACATACTCCTATTTAATGGCTTTGGCCATATTAGACTTCCAGTAACCATGGTTACGACATACACAAATGGTAGCCATGGTAACAGGAGCCTAATAAAGGCTGTCATTATTCCACGTTTTACAATGAGGCCGTGGAAGTTTCTACTAAGTGTGTTCTGGGGAAAGACTGCTATCTATTTTCGATTTCGTATACAACTATTGAGCATAGCCTGAGCTTTCTACATCTGAATTGAATAGACAATCAAAAAATAGAGAGCAACTAGGTCTTTGTAGTACTTGGTACTTCTGAAATTTACTCCTATCACGAGTTTAATGATAAGTTTGTCAAATGTGTTTGACATTTTCCATACTTACTACTTGAACTGTGTGCTTCCGTTTAGTTTTCTACGGAGCGCTGTGTGAGTCCCTACAAGAAATTATTGTTTCTTTATTGATATTAACTATTTGGCGCTGAGGTACATCGATATACTTAGAACATATTATATTGAAAACATATTCAATTTGTCAAACGTATGCCAGAAGAATTTCAAGAACAACGATAGACTACTTCCATTTCTTCTACTTAAGTTCCAATAAATCGACGAAACGTTTCTAAACAACGGTTCGTATATTTACTTATACGTGTGATTTTAAATTTTGTTTTACTCATTGTTTTAACCATTTCGAATGAAACTCGCACGCGTAGATACATGGTAAAGTTCACCGTTGCCTGGGGTCTGAAGTTCCATTGAGGCTCCGTAATTCTGTGTAAGGTCTACGTGAGAGGAGCTTCACATCTTCCCCATTTGAAAGTGGCGTGTATCCACTTCGCTTTCTATACACCATCAAACTGTAAGTATAAAATACATATTATTAGACAATTCGTTAATTTAATTTGGTTCTGGGTTTGATATCTGATAACGAAGTTTTAGTCTAAGGCATAGAAGGCATGATGCAAAAGTAGTTTGAGTGGCGGTTACTTTTAAAATATATAAATAAACGAGGCACAATTAAAGTAACAAAAAATATATTAATAAAGTACGCGTAGAATAAATAAGTGTCTCTAACAATATTTTAAGTTTTCATATTAGCTTAAATTCTGTTGTTGACAACAATTTACTGTATTTAAAGGAAATTGTTTTGAGCACCAAATCCGGCATCTTTTAGTGGTGGATATTCTGTGAAGTACATAATGTAATAACACTTTCCCAATTTTTTTTGAATTTAGAAAATATTGATCGTAAAAATTCGCATAAAATTTTAATAAGAAATAAAATAGTGAGTTTAAAAGTAATAATAATAAAGTACTTGGAGATACAATTTTTCTAGATCCAACGACAAGACACTACTAATACATAGTCTACAATTATATAAAATTAAAAACATGACGTGCGCCCTTTTTTCCTAAGTCTTAAAAGGCTGCTGACGCTACACCTAGCTGCTGTGCAGGTTTTAATCAACCTCTTAAAAAAAAAAGTGTGTGTTCTTATGTACACGCGTTGGAAGTTATACTTCTTTAGCGTAACAAGATAAAAATCTTTACAAAAAATTTATTCTACGTTTGTAGAAAAAACTACACTAACAATAGAAAAACCTAAAATGTTGACTATAGCTAACTTCAGGGTGTCAGTTTGTGACGGTGTGCGCGCGCATCGTAACAATTTACTGTCATCATTTTTCCCTAACCGGCCAAAAGATGTATAACTTCAAAAATTTAAATATTTTTATACGCAAAAAGTCCGTCTCATTGTTGGAAACTACCAAGTTAATATTATTAACGAAAAACAGTCCCTTCAAATAAACATGGCAACTAACTTTTCGTATTTGGTCGACATTTTGAATTTATACTTACAATCAAGATTTTATCGGCTAACTACTGAACTATATGTAAAAAAAAACTTTCGTTTTCATCTAAGTCAGCTACGTAATATCACAAAAATATAAGTATAGTAATATGTGTTTATCTGTTGAGACAGCTGTCTTCCATATGATTTTGTTGACATTGACACACAAATTGTTTGTAAAAGGTTTTGGAAGATTTTATTGCAATACATATAGTGTTCAATATTTCAAGCCGTCTTTTAGCACTTATAGTCTTTCATTAAGAGTTAACGTTAACATACATATAGCTTTACTATATGTATGTTACCGTTAAAAGGTATTCACCATAGATAATGGGTGAGAACAGCCGTCGTAGGTGCGATCCCCGGCTGTGCACCAATAAACTTTCTTTCTATGTGCGCATTTAAGAATCGCTCGAACGCTGAAGGAAACCGGCTTGCCTTAGGCCCAAAACGTCAACGGCGTATGTCAGACAGAGGAGGCTGATCACTTGCGTATTAGATTGACAAATGATCTGAGGCCCAGACCTAAAAAGTCTGAATGATTATATATAAAGTGTTCCAGCACCGGAGATTTTGAGAGTTTTGCCACCGAGGCCTCGGTTTCAAATGCACATTCATTTCAAAATGGATGTTATTTGAATATAAAACTCAAACGTATATTTAAAAGTGCAGTAATAGATTCATCCCATCAAGATTTTTTTTATATACATAGTTTAAAAAAAAAACAAAAAAGGAAGGTTAAACCTTTACCAGAACAAAATACATTTATCGTTAGTGACCTAATATTCCAGTACCCGTATTAAGTAGTCATATAATATATGTAAATTAAGATGTAATTATATTGACATTCTTTCAGTACCTCGATTTTTTCATATACATCTTATCAATTCCAAAGAACCCGAAAGTTATATTATTTTTAGATAGAACTCCAACATATCAGTATGCAGCTTATAAGGCTTTCATGCCGATACAAAAGTTAAAATGTACCTAGATATATTATTTAAGTTATATATTTTTTACATAGAACTTCAATATAGCATTTTTATGATACTGCCTATAAGGCCTATGTCTTGTTATCGAATATCAATTCCCCATTAGATATAGTATATGTTATGTTATTTTTATGTGCAATAATGTGTAAATAATATTATAACAAATATGTACAGAAGAAAACTACGACGAATTATTGTATACTGAAAATAGAACTTTAGTTGATTTCATAAATCAAATAGAACAACCTGTATAAAATTAAATCAGAGCGGAGTCTGCGCGTGCGCAAATTGCATGATGCACCTCATTCAGTTTACGACCATTGTTACGTTCACTTGTTTAAATTATTGTAGTAATTTATTTTAAATTTTAAATGTATAGTCTAACATAAGTTCTTTATTTTGATTTTAGTGAGATAGGTTTAAATTGTAGCGTTTTTTAATTAAATTTAGACAATGTGCAGGTATGTATTATTTAAAAACAAGTTTATTGTTAATTTAATTACGTAAGTACAAAACATTTTGTGTTTTAAAGGTTTATTATTTTTTACGATCGATTTGTTATCGTACTTCAAAATTTGTTGAGAATATATGATTTAGGGCGCATTTTATCCATAGAAAACCATGAAATATTAGTAAAATTATTTTGACTTATAATGTCATATAATAAGTCATCTATATGTCATATATAGTCTTATTTATGAACGTATGTTTAAAGACACCATTTTGAAAATATCTCGCTTTTCCGTCCGTACACTCTTATGAGTATAACAATACTATTTTCTAGCAAATCTATTTGGTACAACGACATAAGATTTTCTGTTACATAATTTTAATAGCCCTTCTGAAAGCCATCTTTTACCTCTAGTTGGTAAATAGTTATATACCTAAACGGTACATCTAAAATGTCTAATAAGAAAACCTGATTTAAGACAGCAAGTGGTGAAAGATTTTCACCAATTAGAACAGGGAACTTAAACATAACAAAATACAGTATTTACTATTTACCTAACGTATAGTAATAATAAGAATAATTAAAAATTAAAACAAATTTAAAAAGTTTGGTCCCTGTGGCAGTGTACCTTTAATTTTCTTTTTACTAAATTACTGAATAATCACTTGGTGGAATCGATCTATTATAGCTTGAAAAAGGATTAAAAAGTCTAATGATAAAGATTAATACGTATATATTACAATAAATAAATCAGTGGCTACAATATTTTTTTAGTTCTGGACATTATTTCTGTATAGCTGTTTTATAATCATTTGTCAATCAAATAGGCAAGTAGGTGATCAGCCTTCAGTGCCACACGCTACCGACTTTTTGGCGAGCCGGTTTCCTCACGATGTTCTCCTTCACCGTTCGATCGAATGTTAAGTGAGCACATCGAAAGAAAGTCCATTGTGCCGAGGATCGATCCTACGACCTTAGGGATGAGGGTCGCACGCTGAAGCCACTTGAGCAATACAGCTCACATATAATATAATGTATTTGTTAAATTGTGAAATAATATTAATTTATAAATCGATATATTTATCTGTCAAACGATACAGTCCATTATTAATTTAGATGTTAGTAACACTGATCTTAGCTATCATTTAGATAATGTTGGAGCTAGCACACCCGTCGCACCAGGGATTCACATCGCGAAAAAGCAATTTTCCGTCCCATTAATTTTCGTATTAAAAAAACCAACAAAGTTAAATAAATACTTTTTTACGTGTCGTGTTTTATTATCCATTAATCAATAATAAGTTTCACTCTAAGCAAAACAAAATGTATAATACCATTTTTATATTTCAGAATATGTCCCAGTTCCATTATAATGCAATTTAAATTGAGGAAGTACTGAAGTATATGAATTAATATATTAAAATTGCAGGAAGTTGTTTTTTTAAATACGATTTAAAATTGAGTATATTTAGCTTTTAAAACATGATATAAATGTTCTAGAACTTTGTATACTTCGATTACGTCATTGTAAACAATGTTATCCGTAAATCTGTGTTCAAATATACAATAGGATGTTCACAATCACACGGCCTTCATGAGATAAGTATAATTAGTTGAAAGGCACGTGTCACAAGCCGAGTAAGTACTTTAAAAGGTAAGGTAACGGAAAATTATATTCACCCATCCGCCAAACATCTTAGGTCAATATTCGGCCGGTGGGTGGCGCTTTTTAGCTAGTGTTTTGATATATATGTATAAGTTATATGTTCCTTATAAATAACTGGTTGATGTTAGTTTATCGAATGTTAACGGGTTCGACTCCTGGTAGCATTTTTGAAATAAATATAATGCAACTCTTATCCCTGAGGTCGTAGGTTCGATACCCGGCTGTGCACCAATAGACTTTCTGTCTATGTGTGCATTTAATATTCGCTCAAACGGTGAAGAACATCGTGAGGAATACGGTTTGCCTTAGGCCCAGATACACGACCCCGTATATCAGGCACACGAGGCTGATCACCTACTTGCCTCATAGATTGGCAAATGATCGTGAAACAGGTACGTCTGAGGCCCAGACCTGAAAAGGTTGTAGCGCCACAGTTTTTTTTGGTAAAGGAAAACATCGCGAGGCACTTGCAGAGCGAAGGAGCCGACATTACGCTAAGTATGACACGTATATGTGAACAGCAAAAACAAATTAGATTCTAACTGGTTACTCTGAGACCTTCAAACATAGATGCCTGTGTCAATAAATAAATCAATGACGCTACAACCTTTTTAGGTCTGGGCCTCAGATTTCTGTATCTGTTTCATGATCATTTGTTAATGTAATAGGCAAGTAGGTGATCAGCCTCCTGTGCCTGATGCACGCCCTCCGGCAGGCAAGTCGGTTTCCTCACGACGTTTTCCTTCACCGTTTGTGGTGTCAATAAACAGATGCAGAAATCTGCAACCCATTAGGGGGTTATGGGACACACTTGTCCATTAACAATGTAAGTAATTTCGAAAGTGCATTGAAATAACCATTTTAGACTATGTTACAAAACTCGTTAAAGTCAAGGCC